TTTGGTGGAGCAAAAGTGAGGAGCAGACCAGAGGTATTCACTGGAAGACTTGGAGCTCTCTTACCTTACCAAAAGAAGAAGGTGGCTTGGGTTTTATTGATATTAAGAACTTTAACACTGTCTTGATTGTAAGCAATTGTGGAGAATCACTTCACAACCCCACTTATTGGTCAGTAAAATTTTAAAAGACAAATATTTTCCTGATGGTTCTATCTTCTCAGCTGTTAAGGCCCACAACTGCTCTTGGCTTTAGTCCAATTGGTTGGAAGTTCTTCATGTGTTTGCTAAAGGTTATGCTGTAGAGATCAGAAATGGAAGCAATACCAGACTTGATGAGGTCGACTGGGTTCCATCACTCCAGAAACCTACTCCCACTCTTTTGGATATTGCTAGAGGACATATAACTTGGGTTAAAGAGTTGATTGATGAAACAAGTCTCGGTTGGAATGAGTGGCCAGTGAAGCAGCTCTTTAATGTAACTGACAGTGAGGCCATACTCAACATTTCATCTTTGAAGCCTGGTTCTGCAGATAGGAAGTATTGGCAATTTGATAAGAAAGGGGTCTTCTCTGTGGCCAGCACTTATTCTTTCCTCTCAAAGTGCAAACTTCTCAATCTGGATTTTCCTCAGAGCAGCACTCACTCCAACAATAAGCTCATGTATAGCTTTTGGAAGCTCAAAATCCCAGGTAAAATAAAACACTTTATTTGGAGATGTATTAGAGGAGTTTTGCCTGTCAAAACTAATTTGCAGAAAAGAGGAATTGATTTGGATATCAGTTGCCAAAGCTGTGGAGAGAGTCCTGAAACCATTGAGCACCTTCTTTTACACTGCCCTTTTGCAGCCAGAGTGTGGCATTTATCTCCTGTCTGCTGGGACAATCTGCACTCTGTTGGATCTTTCAAGGCATGGTGGAGGCACATTATCTCAGTGGGATCTTCTGACATAGCTATAGCCCGTATTCAACTGAACACTTACCTTTTATGGTGGTTGTAGAAATGTCGAAACCTTTGGATTTTTCAGAAGCATTCTCTGCCTGCTCATTTGATGATTAAAACTGCTCACCATGAGTGGTTAGAGTTTTCCCGGTTGTGATGTTCTTTTAGTTGTTTAGTTTTGTTGGTTGCTGTTTTTTCTTGTAATTTTCTTTTGTTGCTTTGTTTGATCTCTAGGCCTTTGGGCAGTGGAATTTGATTGTTGAGTTGGTTTTCGGTAGGTTGATTCTAGGCCGCTTCTAGCGTGTCCTCTCATTTTTTTTGATTCGGGTTTGGCTCGTTGTATTGAACTCTTTTCTCGTTTGAGTTTATAATATGTCTATCGTTTTGTTAAAAAAAAACACATAAACTTTAATTTATTATACACTCACATAGTTTTAATTACTTATCACTTCCAATCACTATTCTCATACTTTTAAACCAAATAATTTTATTTTAAATATTAATTTACAAACTTATCCACTTAAAAGTATTTAACTAAACATTTTAAAATTAACTATAGGTAACTAAAAACACCAATCAAAATCAAATCAAATACATATCCAATCACACCTGATATTCTCAAAAATATGCTCATAACACTCATTCATGCATAATATTTATAATTTTATTAGTACAACACCCGTGTATTATACAGGTGCTTGCTAAATATTTTTCTTAAATTAAAATTAATGAGAAAAAGTGGTTAAAAATTTAAATAATTTTTATAAAAAATATATATAATTACATATTTTAGTATGGCATTTGTTACTTGTGCATCCTGCTTGTGTTATATTATAATAATTTTTCTAAAGATAAATTTTAATAAATAAGTTTAATCAACTTAAATAAATAACTTTGTTATATTTATAAAGATAAATATAATTAATTTATTTTATATATACAATATGAACGTCAAATCGAAGCTAATCAAAAGATAATTAGTTTGATATATTATATATGTAAAACTGATAACAAATACAAAAGTTATCAAGTTTTAAAATATATTTACAAATTTAATGATTATAATAGGAAACGATATTAAAATACAATTACTACATCTAAAATGATCATAAATAAATCAACATATTTATGGTAATCCGGACTTAATTATTTTTGGCTTGAAATTGAATTAAAATCTATCCAAGCCAAATAATGAAGCATAGAATTTTGACACCTAAGATCCCGAAATATGCTAGCCTGCGATTTAGACTCAACACATTCGAGAATTATATATAGAGGAATTTGCTTTTGGTTTGTGTGTTGTATTCGTTTTATATTGAGATGGGTTTTGTAGTGGCTTTGCAGTGATGCTTGAACTCACACTTCTCAACATTGCTAATATTATTATTATTATTATTATTATTATTATTATTATTATTATTATTATTATTATTATTATTATTATTTATTGAGAAAATTTAAATAAAATATGACTTTTAATCAAATTAATAAGGGCTAATTGCTATATAAACCTTGATCTTTTAACGTTTGACATTTAATCCAAACCTTTGGATAATTGCAATATAATCTCAACATTGTCTTACTTTTGCAAAATGAACCTAAAATTTGTCGGACGTTACAAAAATGCCAAGGTGTTCGGCCAATTTTATCCACGTCAGATTCTTTCTTGCTGAGTATGAATTCATAAATTACGTGGAATTTATGGAATTTGATGTTTAAATCCTGAAACTTTATTTGAACATTTTTTTTATTGAACAAAATAAAAATTAAACTGAAACCCTGAAAATTAATTTGATACAAATAAATTGAATCTTCTTAATTAGCAGATACAAAACAAATTTATTTTATGCGATTTTTCTCAATCAAACTGATGATTTGTTTTCCAATTTATCGAACCATTTTTATTAAAAATAATTAAAAACAGTTTCACAAGCTTTTAGAATGGAAGTTCTCCGACGAGTCGTTCGACGGTGCCGCCACCATCCTAGGAGGCCTGACAAGAATCCCCTCAGCCATTCTATGCCCAAATTAGGCATATCGAATGGTGCCTCCAAATCCATGAATTCCTGTCCTCCGATTAATGTCGCTGCACTAAAGCATCGAATTCAGGCCGTTGTCCCCTCTTCGTTCTCCGCCTTCATCAACTTTGCCACGTTATGGATATCCGGCGGCGAAGAAGACACGGGGACACGCGCCATCACCGCCACGTTGTCGACGGTATCTCCAATGAGGGGTGGCGGTGATCAGCCATATGCTGGTGGTCTTCAAACGAACTACAGATGTAGGGTTCATATGAATGATTTTTAAACAAAATTGAAATTGAATTGATATTG